AATAATTATTTTTAAATTGTCTGTAACTCAAAAGTTTGCCTATAAAATTGCCTTCGAGTTCTAACAAAAAATTCATATGAAATTTTATTATATGTATATCCCTTCTAATTTTATACCTAACAATATTTGCATAAAAAAAGCAGCAATAATATGTGGTTTATTTTTAATGCAAATTATCATAAAATCGTGGATTTCTATACGACTATTTTTAAATTATTTAAAAATGTTAGATTGATTCTGCAAAGAATACACGATTAAACTATTTAAACTTACACACAAAAAAAGTATGATCATCAATTAATCTTGCATTTCCGGATCCAGTTTAGTTATTTGTTGTAAAAACATTGGATTCATCCAATTAAATTTTGCATTTCAAGTTTGAATATCCATTATAAAATATTGGTTTTATTACAATACCTGTTTAAATCCCAAAAAAATTGACAGTCTAATCAAATAACCTATACTGACCTATTTAAACAATAAAACTATAAACATAGTAATAGTAATTACTTACAATAAAGGTTAAAATTTATTATTATCATAATTATGCCTTTATTCATTCATTCCATCATTTGCTCAATATTCTCTGGGATTCGATGATATGATTTATACTGATTAACAGCCCACTCAGCAGCTACATCTTTTAGCCCTTTATTATATGCATCCATATATCTTCACGATTTACAAAAAAATTTGCGAATAGTGGTTACAAGAACACTCGTAAGAACTTCTGGAACAAGATTTACTAAATTCTTATAATTATAATTGTATAATCTTCTTGCTTCTTGTTTCGTAAAACCCCAATATCGTTCGATAAAGTTACACTCACAATGAAACTTTGAATAGCATTCAAAAATATGTCTTGCATTAATTATAGCTTCTTCTAACAGAGACCATTGTTCAAGAAAATCGGGCTGCAATGATATGATTCTTTGTGCGCAGCAATCCAACCTTTCTGGGCCATTATCAGTACATTTTCCAGAACATTTTTCGCATACTAGCAGAACCTTTCCTGTAGGCCAAAGTTTTCGCTCTTCAAGCACTTGCCTCAAACCTTTTTGCTTGCCTCTTAACTCCTCCTTATGATAATTATTCAGAAATACCATCGGTTGCACATATTTTTTTCCGGTTTCATCAATAAACCAACCATTTCGCATTACCGGTTGTTTTCCCCCAAAACTCAAGTTCATCCTTTTTGCGATTAGTGCGTTCTCTGCCATAGCATTATGGTTAGTAGATTAATCGAAGCAAAACACACTGATACACCTGGGGTGCAATATTTCAAATGCCAGGATTACTTTATTCACAAGCTGGTCAAGCATATGCTCCACCTTCCAATATCCATCCACCTGAACAAAACGAATCACAAATGTTTCTTTATCTTTAATATATGGATTTTCATATAGCTGTTGGTCAGATAGGCGTAGTAGTCCGTGACAAGGACACAAAAAAGCAGAGACTATTATAGAACGTCCCAGATGTTTTGGGCGCAAAATATTTTCACCTTTCTGAATCCAAATTCGTCACCGCCCATCGTTAGCATAGAAATAACACTCATCATGTGTTATTTGAATGTATTCTTTCTCCCCTAAATTGAGCCAAGGTTCTAATACAAATTCTAATGACTCACCAACAAAATCTTTCGTGTTTTTTTTTATACATGAACATTTTCTTTACTCATTCATTCCTATACGCCACCACATCTGGTCTCTCATGGCCATCAAAGTAAATACCCTTTCTTCTCTCATCATATTTAAAACCCCACGAATATATATAATTTCTACACATCTTCTCTGATATAGTGTCTTTTTTGATATGGCCAATCAATTTTGGAAATAGTGTATCCTCAATATATGCTTTCAAATTACTAGGTGTACGTACTTCCGGTTATTGTTGCCTTAACCACTCTTTACAATTTTCACTAAAATCCTCATTATCAATCAAGCTTTCGAGTTTGGTATGTTTACCTTGGCAGTAAGAAAGAAGCTCCCCTGTCTTTATATAATGATTTCCTCATATCTGAACACATTTAGCCATATAACTCCCTTTATTCAATATGAAACGTGCAATTTGGTCAGCAGCATCTATTTTACCCTGTTCTTCTAACAATAATTGTATATATCGACATATGCTAAGAAAACGTAAATGATCATATGTAAAGATTTTACTATTCTCCTTCACAAATTTTCCTATCAAGCATCATTGGTTAAGTTCTTCCAAACGAATATGTAAATTTTCAGTCGACCACAAAGATGAATCTGGTATAATAATTGGAGAGGGGCATAATGATAAGGATTCTGAAGTGTAAGATTCTTGACAAATTAGTTGAGAAGTTGTTAATGAACTCAGTTGAAAAAATGTTTCAAGTTTTTTGATTACTTTTGTATTCTCATCATCATTTTTTTTTTTTTTTTTGCCTCCACATTGTCGTTCTTGAGGTCCCAATGTATACTATTCTAAGGTTTCTTGCAGCATCCTTATGCCATCTGAGAATTTCACTGAGAAGTCTTGTTTCTACTCCCTCGAATTCTACTAGTTCATCTTCTGTCCATTCCTCTTGCGATTCAACTGTGATTATATTTTGTGACTCTATGAAAATTTGGTTATTTTGGTTAAGATAGCGGCCTTTTTCTCTTGGCAAATTACTTATTTGTTTTTGCTTTTTTGTTCGGGGTGCCATAAAAATGGACAAAGAAGGACGTTCACCAATCAGTTATATTTTCTCATAAATGAACGGCGGCCCGAAGTGCTTCCAGTTCTTTGTCGTTATTCTATTTGCAATGTCAAAGACCCTTTTTATCA